CAGAGTCACAGAATGGACAGACAAACAGATATACAGACAGAAATTGAGATAAGACTCGTTTCGGCTTTCTTAGGCTATGAAACGTAAAAATAGCCAAAAACTGCATGATTCTAAGCAATGTACAGACAAAACTGTAATTTTATTTATATAGATTACAAATCTTTGACGTTCATTAATTTGACATGAAACAGCTGATCTGCCAGACAATTTATTTATAAATCAAAACAAAACAAATCCTCTACTTAAAGTTTGTTACTATACAAAAACATTTTTTTAACTATTTGTTGTGTATCCTAAAAATGGGACCCCAGAAGATTTGGCTGTAGACTGTTCGAGGTCTTGATCCAATAGCCTACACACTGGAACACTGTTACACAACTGCAGTTCGCGGCCCACAGGCTATCTGTTAGGCTTCAGTATTCTGCTGTTGTGGTAAAGTTATACTTCAAACGTCTCGGTTTAGGGAACAGTCAAAACTTCGAGCAGAGCTATACCTTCATGACGCAATACGTGCACAAGCAGAAAATGAAAGAGTCCAAATAGGCTAAAGCTGATAGGAAGCTGATGGATTCCCTATTTCGCCGGCAAGATTGCTTGGAGTTGGATGCCCTGTTGATTTCATCCACCCAAACGTTGTTGAAAGTATACAAAATGGTGAAATGAAAGACAGCTATTATTGCTCCAAAAACAGTGACTGTGATTTGATCAACAATAAAGTATTGGATAAATTGCCAGGTGAGCTCAAGGTGTACGAAAGCATTGATAGTTTGCTTGCAGATAATTTAAACGCCCATCTATAATGTCCAACAGAGTTTTTAAACAATATAGAGGTAAGTGGATTGCCAAGACATAGATTGATTTCAAACAAGGGGGCAGTGGGTCGGAAACAAACTTACCATTTAAAATGAGAAGATGCCAATTTCCATAAGCTTTGTCATTTGCAATGACAATCAATAAAGCACAAGGGCAATCATCTAAAAGAGTAGCACTGTTCTTACCCAGACCAGTTTTCAGTCATGGGCAACTATATGTTGCTTTAAGTAGGGCTACCAGTAGATATTTTGATGGTGTACACATTTTATTCATCACGGAAAATTCTGACCAGGGTAGCCTAATCTTTCCGAAGGGTTGTTCTTTTTTGTTCTGTTACTGTATTGTCTGGATTTTCCCCGAATATTTTGCAATTCATTGTGAACATTTTGAATTATTTTAGGTTGCAGAATTTTATCCGTGCTGGGGAGCAGTGTCCTTGTTCTGCGCCCCATTAATCTTTGAGCTGTAGATCCAAGATTTTTCCGGGGTATATTTCTTTGATGAAGTAGGGCTAAATAAACATCCGTCTTTTCTTCTAGGCATTTCTTTACAATGAGTTTTGCCTCTTGAACATACCGTTCGGCTAATCCATTTGATCTTGCAAACAAAGGGCTTGAAACCCTTTGATTGACTGATAAAATGGAGCACATGCGTTCTTGAAATATTTCGGGAGCAGAGGCTATGCCGAATGGCATTCTTAAGTAGCTGTACCTTCCCCTGTTTCTTGTTTTAAAATAAAACTAAATCTTTAGATGAAAAATTCCATTTAATGAACTACAAGTTATTTTGTTTACAAGTAAGTTTGTTTACAAAAACAATATAATAATAATTAACAACCATATGACTTTATAGTCATATGTCACCAGTGACACCGGTAAGTAGGATAGGTGCTAGGTGGAAGACCATTGTTGCGCTCACGTTCACTCATCCCGTTACGCGCAGAATAAGCGTACTACTGGTCTTAAAAGAAGTTTCTTCGTTTCCTGGAGAAGACATGTGCTTAACATATGTTTCTGTATTTTCATGCTGCAAACAAATTTCCATAGCTTCATTTAGCTTCAAGTCTTTCATCAGCTATAGACGTTTCCGTAGTTCATTGTTTTCTAGGCCAATGACAAGACGGTCAAATATTAATGCCTCTTCTAACTAATTTTTATTTAAACTTGACAAGCCATCAAAACTGCAACTTTTAGCTCTTTCTTTCAACCTTCCTATAAAATACTTTATATTTTCATTCTTGTGTTGGATTATTTTGTTAAAGAAAAATCTTTCATAAAAGGGATTTGTCGTTCCTACAAAATATGAATCTAATGCTTCTATGATACCAGCAAGATCTGTATTGTTGGTATCTACAAGTTTTTCAATCAATTCAAGGCCCTCTTTACCTATCAATGTGTTGAACATAGCCAGTTTGAGTCTTGGTGTACTTAGCCTTGTGCCACTTACTGCTCCTGCCTCTGCTAGTACCAGGTAGTTTTCCCATTGCTTCTTAAATGCCCTCCATTCTTCCTTGGCTGAGGCTGTATTGCTTAAATCAAGAGGTGCAGGTTTACAACCATTCTCACAAGTTATTCTGACACCATGTTAACTATTTAAGAAATAATTGTTAGGACTTAGGTAAAACTAATATGTATTGACTTTTTTGAATGATTCACAATATAGCAACAACAAACATAAACAATAATAATAATCAGCTGCTACAAATCCAAGTAATATTAAAATCAACATACAAGACTAACAACATATGTTTATAACATCATATGAAAGTATGCGAGGAAGTATTTTATTTTTGGGCCAGAAGAAAACTTTAAGCGACAAAGTTGTAGTTGAAAAGATGATTTTTAACATGTGATCGAGCAACTTACAATTAAGTGTGTAGTTTGTCTGTAGTAGAGTCATTAATAGCGCGACGAGGTTGATTTTATGTCGCACCAACCTACTCACTCTAGCAACTCATTATGTTTTTGCTACTCGATCATTGTAAAGCTAAATAAATTTTAACCTTTTTTAATAGTTGATATAAGTTAAAGAATACAACTATTCTATGGATGTGATCATAGCCTATATTTTATTTATTTGCAGAAGATAAATATCAATTCCGGTACCGCGGGCTGCCGCTGAGTTGAAGAAACCCTATGAAACCGGATTTTCCTGCTCCGATGAATGAAATGGAAGTACTCAATTCAATACAATTTGTAATTGTGTACTAACTCCTATATTTTATAATAATTGCAGATAGTAAACGATCCCTTGTTACAACTAAACAAAGGGGGATTACTAGTCCCTGTCCCTGTATATATAGTCTACATTTTATATTTTAATTTACGGTAACATTGTTTGTAAATAGTTTACCTGGAAGGTGATAATACAGTATTAAGTTATGTCTTACCTGTAATAATAATGTATTTAATATTTATTGATTGTACCCACAACGTTTCTGGGAGTACCGTAAACGAAAAGATCAGCGGAACAAGAGAGGACAGCCCGCGGCGCGATTTATAAAGAACCTCCTTGCGCTACTAATAACTCCATTACACACGACTAAAAAATTTTATTTCAAATTGCTTTGTTATATGCTGAAGATCATCTCATTAGCTACAATTTTTTCGCTTGAAGTTTGCGTCTAACAAAACAATAAAAAAATCCTCGCTTAGTAACTTTTTCATATCAAGGTGTGATATTTTTTTAATATTTTCAGTTTTTAAAATTTGAATTACGGTTTAAATAAGATTATATTTATACTGTCAGATTCTGCATTTAATGCAGATTCCGAATATATAACTGTAATTGCAGCCAACCTATTGTGTGGACGGCCAGGAGCGTATTAACAACCGGGTGCACGGCTTGAGGAACTGACATATCTACGTTGGGTCCCACATAGTGGAGGGGGGAGGTTGCCTAAACGGCACGCTTTTTATCCCACATCAGCAATCTGGGGTGTTCCAGTTGTGTTATATACTTCGATGGCAAAAACCTGTTAAACAGTGATCATTTACTTTGTAATACGCTGCAATCGTGTTTGTAAATAATATACAGGGTGTCCCGAAAGTCTCTACGAATATTTTTGTTTCTTGAATAACTCAAAAACCATTGATTTTACAGAAATTTTAAATGGCCGCCATTTTGTTTTATAAATTTAAAAAATCGTGATAATTTTTTAGTAGCTTTGTCTAGTTGTCATAAATGTTTTTGCAAAGTTTCCATTTCGTATGTTTAACCATTCTTTAGAAAAAGATTAATAACTAAAAAAAAAAAACAAAATGGCGGCTGTGGGAGTAACCAAGGACTTCCAGACAATTTAAATATGATATTTAGGTATGTTTCTTATTCAGGAGCAATGCCCTAAAATGTTGGTAGAGAGTTCCGGGACACTCTGTATTCTTGTTTTTTTATCGAGCAGAGTGAAGCAAAGCTCTTATACTACACTCCTGCTTTTGTTTTACAAATACTCCTTCCGAACGGCTGAAGCGATCTACACAAAATTTAGCACAGTCATAGTAACCAACCATGGGAAGGTATAAATCTGAAATGGTACAAATCGAACCAAAGGACTTTTTCTACGTGAATTTGAACTTTAAGAAATTTAACATGGGCCTTATGGGTTAATTGGTAGCTATGACATTATTTGTCAGATAACAATAAAAAGGTAAACAAGAGACACAACATATGTTAGTCGACGAATTATCTAAAATAGCACATTACAAAAATACCGTACAGAGAAAAAGGGAAGAACAATCGGATTAATACCATTGAGCATAATTTACTACAAAATGAATATCCAATAATAAGGGTCACCGGAATTAGGCTGCTGCACTATTGACTTTAGATACTCCAATTTTTTGTTTTGAGGGTCAAAAATGAGAAAAACCAATTTTTACCCCGTTCCTGGTTCTGGTTCACGAACTCATTCAAGTTCAAGTATTGTCTTCCACAATCACAGACAAATTTTGGATTTCCCATGAGACCTCGAAGACATCTTAATATCCTGCAATTGTGCCGAAATTTGGTGCATCTCCCGCCTTAACCAAGACATCATCATTGTATCTCCCAATCTCGACAATATTTTGAACATCCCCACAATGGCAAAGACATTGTTACCCTACTTTGCGGCATAATCTTAAACTTTTAAAACCAACCCAGCCGTAATTATTATTTTATTTATTTTTAATGGTCAAAATGGTGTGTAGGTACTGGGACTTGGTCATGTGCTAGGCAAGGGGAGGCTATTCATCAAACATCCACAGCTGTTTAAATACTGCAGTGACTCGCAAGACCAGGATTGGTTAGCCTCACACAGGCACACATTGACACCTCTAGCCTCTACCAAGGTCTACATCATGCTGCTGGATGAGATCAAAGAGCTTGTCAACAGTGATGAGTACAGGTATGTCAAGGAACAGACAAAAAGAGAAAGACAATTGATTTTAGATTTTTTATTTTGATTGATTTTAGGCCTATTTAATTTAGTTTGTGAATTACGAAATTGCATTCATTCTTTGTGTTACAAACAATAAAATATCATTGAACTTGACAACCGGGTCAACTGTTCTCACCAAAAATAACAACTGTAAAGCTTAACAAAATATTTTTAATCCAAGAAAAGATACTATGTATGCATGTCACTGTAGCCTATCCTTAAGATTTAAGTCTGCAATGAGCCATTTGTATTCCCATTCATTTCTAGCAATGTCACTTAAAGTTAAAAGTAAAATGATTTAGTCTTTACTTACAATAGAATGGTAGGGTACAATTACTAGGGTCCAAAATGTAAATTATTGTAACTTTTTTGCTCTTAATTTGTATTTCCATTCATTTATAGCTAGTTTGATTATATAACCAAGGTTTTAAATAGCTGAAATAACAAGAAAAAAATTGTAAACAAAACACGACTTCTACAATGCAGCGGACAGAACTAACTAATACCCCCGCCGCAGCAAACCTGCCGACTAAGCGAATTTCCATTTGTCTGAATTGATTTTCAGTTAAATATATTTTAATAACATTAGGTTTAACGAGTAACTAGGTTTGCTGTTACAAGGAAACTAATAAAGTGAGTTTTTTAGTAAAATGTTGATAGCTTAGTATAAAATAAATAACTTTGCCAAGTTTTATCAAAATATATCCATAAACAAGCAAACTACAACATTTGACAATATTCTCCATAAGAATAACATGGGAATTTTAAATTCACAATTTCTTAAATTTTCTCTGTTACCAATAACCGAACAAAAATACTTTTACACACTAAATTATTTGTTTTTTTAAGCTCTTTAAAAAGGGCTAAAGAGAAATTGGGAAATTTTGTGTTTTGAGGGTCAAGAGTGAGAAAAACCGATTTTTACCCCATAAAAACCCCCGTAAAACCCCGTTCCCATGGTCCGATCATGCTGGTTTGCAAACTCATTCAAGTTTATCCCGCTTTACACCTTTAAACCAAATTTCACCAAAATCGGACAAAAATTACTCAAGTTATCGCGTTCACGGACGTATATATATATATATATATGTATATATATATATATATATATATATATATATAAATCTATATATATATATATATACATATATAAAAATTTGAACGAATGGTGTTTTTGGCCTCTGGGGACATCAAAATGAAAAAGTAAATCGGTCCCGGGTCTAGGTCTTACCGTGCCACCTACGGTAATAGCTACTTCCCTATAGGGAAATTCGCTAATAAAATGTATAAGTCTGTACTTACAATAGTTGAGTAACAATATTGAGTATTTTGAATACCTAAATAGGAGGTGGGCTGTATCACTTTTGTTCCGTTATTGAAAGCTAATTTCTTCATATCACTTTTGTTCCGGGGGTCAGCAGGTAGATTTCGGGACCGGCTGAAACATCGCTTTTGTTCCGTGGACATCTCTCTTGTTCTACGAGAGAGAGGGTATACTTTCCCTCCCCCAAATCCTCTCTTTCGCGCTCCTCCTAATTCTTTCTTTCATGCGGGCTTTAAAACTCGTTAAATTATAATTTTATCCTTAACAAAAATATAAATAATTTAACCTAACCTATGACAGAAATAGTTAGGGGGAGAGCGAAAGAGAGGATTTGTGGAGGGAGAGTGGAGCCCTCTCTCTCGCGGAACAAGAGAGATGTCCACGGAACAAAAGCGATGTGAAGAAATTAGCCTCAACCGCGGAACAAAAGCGACACACACGGGGGTGGTGGCGGATTATTTTAGAAGAGCTTGGCAGTATAGATGGGATTTTATTAATGAATTTAATTCTTAACTTAATATATATATAGAAATACCCCTGTTTTTTTTTTTTTTTTTTTGTTGTCATGTTTATTGTCTCCTTTTGAAGCTCATTTACTCATTTTGACAATTTTTCTTAGGCATAGGTTAGTTTTTTTAACTGTTTGTATATGTATTGTTTAACTTATACTTTTATTCAGTGGAAAGCAATATTTAATATGGAAATGTTATTTACTTTCTAATTTATGTAACATTTATTTGTATCTTAATGTTTCTTCTAAATGTAATTAAATACGTTTTAATTTAGTGTAGGTTTGAAATTAAGTGCCAACCGAACACACTGTTATATAACCATAGTTCTTAAAGTTAAATTTTCAACCTGTGAATGTATATAACAATATTTTGTAAATAAAGCACTGATTCATTCCATTTTTAATTAATTTCACAATAAAAGAGTAGGGTACAATTTGTAGGGTCCAAAATATAAATTATTGTAACTTCTTTGCTCTCAGGAACAGTCCAAGTGTGCTGATACACGAACTTAAGGGATTTGAGGCACCAGATTTTATGTTGAAGAAGATTAAGACGTACATGAGTCAAGTGAAACCACAGACCTCTGATGATCCTGAATCTCCTTCTGACACCAGCCAGGGTGTGAGTATCTACTCCTTAGATTTTCACCCAACATACTTGTTTACACTCCACAGATGCTGAAATAATTTTCTTAAGCTGTGAAAAATTTGGAATTGGGCTAGGTATCCTGCAGTTTTGGTATCTAAAGTAAAAGTGTGCGGATATCCACAAATTTGGGTCGGATTTGGTTCAAAATCCCCCCCAAATTTTATATCCTATAAATATCCGACTTTTTCAGATGGACTGTATTTATGATGTTTTAGTCTGTAAAAAAATCTTCATAAGATAATAATCATCATTAGTTTCCATGGACGTGATTTATACATTGAACCATTTCTATTGAGGTGACAGCAGCATAGGAGTAATCGTCTATTAAAAATATCAAAACATTCATGTAAGCGTGGTCGTCGCTGTGAGGAATAATCAAACTAACAAACAAATACTGTAATAACAAAACAATCAATATATTACATAACATACGGTACTACATTTTGATGAATCAGAAACAAGATGGTTTTTTTTATACACTATCAACACATTAGACATATGAAATGAGTGCAGTTGAGCTAAATATTAACTAATAAAGTGACACCAAACACTTAATTTTAACTTTGTATTAATTATTTTCTTTCCAGAGTTTTACTTTTGCCTAGCCTAAAATATTTGTGAACTCAAAGATGAAGATGTATGATGCAATAATACAGAGTTCTCGATTGAGAGGATAGCAGGCTTACCTGAATGGGAAAGAGTCCAAACTGGCACAGGAAACACAAAACAAAACTTTACACTATATACACAAAACATTAGAATATTTCACTGTCACTGACAGCATTTTCAACTAAGGAAGAGATAGTTTTCTAGATGTCCAATCCAAAACTTTTGGATTGGACATCTAGAAAACTATCTCTTCCTTAGTTGAAAATGCTGTCAGTGACAGTGAAATATTCTAATGTTTTGTGTATATAGTGTAAAGTTTTGTTTTGTGTTTCCTGTGCCAGTTTGGACTCTTTCCCATTCAGGTAAGCCTGCTATCCTCTCAAAAAATCCTAAAAAATCTAGGCCCTTGTGCTCTATGCTACACCCTTAGAGTTCTCGATTGGTTGTTTATCGGTTATTCGTTCCCTTGCTTGTGCTTTACCATTCATCTAGAACGAAACTAAAATAAAGAAGAAAAGAACTACCAAGTTCAAATAAAAGCCCATTCGTGTTTCAATCTCCTGTTACTTGGAGCGCTGCTACGCCATTATAGCTTAGTTTACAACCATTGTATGTATAAAGTTAATACTACTACTACTGTAGGCGAGAGTTAAGAAGTCCTCTGAATCCTGGCCTATTCTAAAAATGCAGGCGCTTGCTACTCGACGGCTAGGCGCGCCGTGGGTTACTCATATTCCACACGGCAGTCAGGGCTCACATCCACTGCGTTAAAACCAAAAGAGCACCTGCAAATACAACGCGGCAACATACAAACATTTCTGCATATCACTCTGTCTCAGAGGACTTCTTAACTCTCGCCTACAGTACAGTGAAGTGGCTATGCCATTGGGAAATAAAATTAAAAAATACAGATGGTCACGGTTTAATATTTTTGTCGCACACCACTTAGAAAAATAGTAGTGCTTAACTTTTCTCTAGTCTCTTCACTATCACAATTATTCACAGCATCTAGTTTCCAATGTTGGTGGCTTGACTGCTTTATTCCACCTGCTTTGGTCCATGCTCTGGTCCATCTTGACTCTAGTTTGTTTTGCTTTGGCTTTTAGATGTCACAATTACAAGAACTGGCCATAGCCTGGATTCTAGAATTTATAGGAAAACCCACCACAACAGACCAGACAATAATTTATTTTACATCGTATCATCCACATAACCACAAAACAGCTGCTTATAACAGCTTTGTACATAGGGTCTTATCTATCCTACTCTCACCAGAAAACTATGACAACGTATTAAAAATTTTAAAATACATCGCAGTATCCAATGGATATGGGAGCTCACTCATAGATAAACTTATAAACAAACAGAAAAACAAAATTAAAGAAAGCCAAGAAAAGACCCCAAGACACGGCAGGAAGAAGTAACTATAAATCAGTAAAGCTTCTTGGTTTTCATTTGGATTCTAGACTTGATTGAAATGATCATATAGATGGTATTTGTTAGAAAATTTCTAGAGTGTCGTTTTTAATGTGGAAACTTAGAGATTGTGTGTGGGATGAGTATTTGAGGATATCTTATTCTGTCCAATCACATATTTGTTATGGAATAGTCTTGTGGGGTCACTCTAGTGCTGTACACGACATTCTCATAATTCTAAAGAAAATCTTGAGAACTATGTGTAGAGTGGATGAAGTGGAACACTGTAAACCATTGTTTATCAGACTGAATATCATGACAGTAAAAAACCTTTACATCTACCAAGTACTTATCCACACAAAACTACACCTTTCAGATTTCACCACCAGAGACCACTTTCATGCACATGACACGAGAGGCAAGGCTAAGCTGGATTTACCCCAACACAGGTTGGCCAAAACAGGTAAATCCTTGAAAGCCAACTGTGTTAGGTTTTTTAATAGGCTCCCCCAAACTGCAAAACTCATCTCATTTAATCACTTTAAAACAACTATAAAAAAATGGCTAGTTGAAAACCCTTTTTATGCGTTTGATGAATTTGAAATGTCAGAGTTTAATGTTAAGTTTTAACCTATTATACATAGTTTTTAGTTAATTTTAATTTAATATATTAGCATTTAGTAAGAATATTTGACTGTTCCTATCTCTGTATTGTTATAGATCAATGGAATAAATAGGTACTCTTGACTCTTGACATACGTCGGTGCGATTGCGGAATACGGAGTTGTACTTAACAATTCCTAGAAGAAAGTAATGGGGAAACATCAAGTACAAATCGCTAATAAATAATAAATAATAAAAAACCTAACAAACTCTCTTTTCTCCTTAAGGAAAGAAGAAAGAAGACGCTTGACATAGTAATCAGCACTGGTGTTGATAAAATTAAATGCGACGATTGTCCGAGTTTTTATATGGGATAAACTGCCCGTTCTTTCACTACAAGGTTCAAGGAACATCTACCAAGGAGAAACTCCAAATCTACTTTTGCTAATCATCTCATTAGTTCAAACCATAACTAAACCGACCTACACAATAATTTAGAAATCATGCATTTGTGCAATTAAGGCAGACAAATGGACAGGTACTATAGAAAAATTCCGACCGGCAACCATATATTAAATAAACAGCAGTCCTTCGAATCAAATATCATTTACAATACTGCCATCCACATTATCAACCAAAACAAAACAAACCAGAGTCAAGATAAGGGGAGGGGGTCCCAACTCCCTACTTAGGTCAGTCATGACTCATAATCAACTGGTTACGCACCTTGTGTTCGGACTACCTGGCAAATGTAAATACATAAATGTCGTTTTGTATGTGTTTCGTGTCATGTGTCCTTAGAGTGCAATGTACAACAAATGCTGGTGACATCATTCACGGATGGGAATACTATTTAACTTTCCAACCTGAAAATGTGCTCTTAGCAGCACGAAACAGCTTTAGTTATCCTATTCTCTAATACGAGCAATGTCTGTTTGTCTGTCTGTAATATTATATCTTAAAATCCAGCCGAAGAATTTTGACTAAATTTTGGAATTAGGGACTTATACTTGTTTATAATTGATTTTCCTTTATAATAATTAGGAGTAAAATGACCACACAGTATGGTTTCTAAAACCCATTGTGGAAGTGAAGTTTATTTACAACAACAAAATAAACGTAGCAAACACATGGCATGTAATATGACAGTTGCTTTAAAATTAATACCAAGAAGGCAGTGAGGAACAAGATTACAAATAAATTCCAACACCCCTCCTTAATCTTGATCCTTCATTGGGGTAATACCAAGGTCGGTCATGAAACCATCATGCTTGATTTTGCCAAGTGATTTGTCAAAAAGTCCGCTACCATCCTGGAAGTTTGAAGGTAATTCAGCACAACTAGTTTTCTCTTTGTTATGTCTCTGATAAATAACTGTTTATGAATTATATGTTTGGTCATGTCATTCACGGTTCTCTTATGTAAAATCTTCATTGCTGGCATGTTGTCACAATGCAAATTTACATGCTCAAGAAATATTCCCAGCTCTTCCAACAAGTGCTTCAGAAACATTGCTTGCTTGCATGCCTGAACCATTGCTACATACTCTGACTCTGTTGAGGAATCAGTCATGCATCTCTGTTTCTTACTTCCCCAAGACACAGATCCTCCACACAGTTTAAAAACATATCCGGTAAAACTTTTCCCATCAAAATTGTTTCCATGACTGGCATCAACAAAACCATGTAAACCATGCAAAATTGTGTAGGTCTTGTACACGTTGACAAACACATAAGACTGCCTTTCAGCTCCTGATACTGCAAGTTGTGACTGCTTACCTCTGGCTTTTTATGGTCTAGCCCTTCTTCCATAGGAGTGTTGGCAGGATTACAATCAATCATATCAAATTGTGTCCAAATCTTCTCAATGTAAGCTGTTTGATCAATTCTCAGGATATCATTTCTTTATTTATTTTCATGCCTAGTACATTTTTAGCATCACCAAGATCCTTGATTTTAAAATATCCTTTTAACTGTAGTTTTACATTTGATTTTAAGTCATCATCATTGTTGAACAGAAGAAAGTCATCTTGAGGTAGATTAACAAGAGTCCAGGTGTTATTCTTAATCAACGAGGTATACTCCTCCTCCATAGCATGCTTCCACAAATTCTTATTCGGATCTTCTATTGCCTCTTGACAATTACTTGGCTCTAGATCCTCACAGGTAACCATGTAGGTAACAAAATCAGGAAACGTTTTAGGTTTTCTAACTCTTAGAGAGTACCTACCCCCAACATTAATTTGAACACCTTCCTCGTCATTTCCCGAATCCCCTTCAGTCGATTCTCCAGTTCCAACATCGCCATCATCTTGTTCAATGTTGAGACTATCGAGAATGAAGCTC